AGGTGAGCTCGTACTTGCCAGTTTCCTCGTCGAGCGGGCGGACGGAGGCAAGGGCGTGGCCCCACTTGATCGAGTCCTCGGGGATGGCAGCGAGTAGGATCTCGCGGAGGACGCGGCGGTCGATCTCGGGACGGGCCTTGGTCTCGTCGGGTATGTCTGCCTCGGTGCGGGCTGCCAGCACGACGCCGGCCTTGCCGCAGAGACGACTCTCCTGGGCCTCGAGGCGCGAGTTCGCCTTGAAGGCTTCGCCGAGCCCATTCTCGCGCAAGGCGCGCTGCCCTTCCTCCCAGGTGAGGTCCAGCATTCCGCCCATGAAGGCGCGAGCGTGGCGGCTCGCCTCACGCTCGTAAAGTGTGGCACGGATACCGCGGTTGTGGAGGGTCAAAAGGGTGACGAGTCCTGCTGGGCCACCGCCAATGATGACGATGTTGGGTTGGTTAGAGGAGGTGGTAGACATCGGTCGAGGGGGTACGTCAGATGAGTCGGGCTGAAGACAGACTCGGTGCTATATATTTGGTTGTCATAGTAGGTCGACGGAGGCCTTTTATGCTCCTTGGGTTTCTGACAAAAAAATCGTTACAAGTAAGTCGGCGCCGCGCTCGCTACGTTGAGGACGCACTCACATCGGCCGCATGCTCCCCTATCGCTGTCATCGCCGTCCGCGAAGGTACTCGGGCTGCCGGCGTTCCGCGTCATCCCAGTCGAACATCACCCACCGAGTGCCGTGCAGCCGCGTCAACCAAGTCGAGGGAAGAGCACGTAGCCCCAGGGCCCATGCTCATGGGATCGGGTGAATTCTTGGCGCGCGTCGACGCCGAGCGTTTGCGCGTCGGCGGCAGCGTGAACCTCAACCTCAGTATCTTGTTTTGATTACTTACCGTAACCACCTGTACATGAGCTTCGACTTCCTCTCCTTCGGTGCAAATGTCATCACTGTCGAGAAGACGCCAATTATCAGGCGAAAACCCATGCTACATACCCGACAACTTACAGTAGGCAACATGAACATAGCGTGTGCCAGTGGCTCTTCCCCTTCCGTTGTGACTTTGACTGGTTGCAAGGTGCAAGCCCGCCTGTGCGGAGCACTCTCTACGCTGCTAGGCCGTTTGCTGTAAGTCCTTGTGCCTTCTTGGGTCTTCGGACCCTGGCTTACGTCTGAGCATGACTGACACTTCTAAGATCCAGTCAGCCCACGTCACTTCTCGCTAAATGCTCGAGCACTTCACTGTGATGTCTGTAGCTTGGGATGCTTTGCTCGCGGGTACTATGCATGGGTATATATCACAGTGGCGTATTGGAATCAACCAAGCATGGCGTCCACCACCACCGTCCACCGCCTCTATGGTCGTTGGAGAGACCAAGCTGCCTTATCCCTCCCCGATCAGCTCCTACCCGTCACTATTCATACGTATGACGCCCCGTCGCCTCTACCCGCGAGGATACGACTGGGTGATCGCGTCCAGGTGATCGCGTCCAGGTGATCGCCGTCTCGCCCATGGCATATCGCACCCTTCACGTCCCGCCTGGACGCACGATATTCGACGTGTACGATCCGCAAATCGTCGGAGTAGTGGAAGGAGTTCGCACCTCCGGGGCTGAGAAGGTGACACTGCTGGTCAGAAACGAACGCGCCGAACACGGCGTAGCATGGGCAGTCGTCTCTGGGCCTCCCATGCCAGGAGATACGCCGAGTGCGGTTGAGGACGGTTACTTGGTGGAGTGGATGAAGAGTGTGCTTGATGGAGAAGGGAGCGTTGTAGCCCTGCGGTGTGCAGATGCGGAGGTGGTGGACCACTTGGGAGGGGGAGTTACACTCCCTGTTCAATGTCAATACCCGGACCCTGAGATGCGCCGACGCGATAGGAGAACCACGGAATTTAGGGCGTGTTTGGACCTCTGAAGCGCAGTTATGGACGCAAAGCCCTGTTCTGAAATCCTTTCTCATTGAAGCTTCCGCAGCGGTTAATGTCGAGGAGACCAGTTATAGAGCTAGCTGTTGTCGGGGTCGAGTTATGAATTCAATGCAGCGGAGCACGTCGCAAAACAGTCGGGTACTCAACAATAACCGAGTGCAGGGGCGCAATCACTTTGCATAAGTAGTCGACAGACCAGCGGTCGCGTCAGGCCTTCTGTACGACAATCAAAGCCGATCACTCACGATGCATCACTTCATTTCATTTCAACGTCTTCGCCTACTGCATCTGTGTTGTTTTTACTGTCAACGTCCCCGCTCTCCGAGCGCGTCCGCTTAACCTCCCTCCCCGCCTCAGACTCCGCGACCTCGCTCACCCCGCGCTTCTCCTTCTGCTGTTCCTTCTCCTGGATCTTCGCCAGCAGCGCCTTCTTCTTCCTGAGCCGCCCCAGCTCGCGCTGCGTGAGCCCCTTCCCGTCCGTCTCCGGATCGATCGCCGCCGCCTCCGACAGCGAGTCCCGGATGAGCGGGTCGTGCTCGGGGTCGACGTTCTTCGGCATCGAGGCGAGGTCGGAGTACAGGTCGAGTTTCTTGAGGTCGTCGGGCGTCGCTGCGCGAGCAGATAGATATGTCAGGTTAAGCGACTTCACATTGTGAGAGCAAGCAGAGGGACATACCGGGGACGAGACATTTTGAGTTGAGGGAGGCAAGGAGCGGTGCGTCGCTGGGAGTCGACTCGGACAGCTGCACAGAAAGATCAGCTCGAGCAGTCGGCACCAGACGAGCTCGACTTACCGTCGCGCCATTCCATGTGAGCATTCGGACGAACTGGGGCTTCTCCGAGCTTGCCGAAGACGGTGCACCAGTCCACTCAGCATCGAGCAAGACCCACACGTCGCCAGTTGGACCGACCGTGAAGTCGATCACGGGCACGCCGAAGTCGACTGCGAGTACAGACGGATCCGTTGTGGCCTCCGCGGGCAGAGGCGTGTAGAACATCGCTGTCGCGCTAAGATTCACGACCGGTGCGGTTAGTGTGGTGGCGGACTGAGAGGCAGGAGCGTACGACTCACCCGACTGCGTTAAAGACGATGAACTGACCGTGCTCGCCACGGTCGGCGGATGCAATCTTATGCACAACGAAGACGAGCACTTCTTCTGGCGTTGCTGAGGCGGCCTGGGCACTCACCTTGCCGGGCTCTTCAGCAGAAGCTTCGGGCATTGGCGAATCCTCCGGCGTTGCGTCTGCCTTCGTGGCCGCCGCATCCTCCACCTGCTCGACGTCTGCACTATCCTCGCGAACTTCCTCCTTGCCCTTCCCCTTGCCCTTCCCGCGACTCCGCCGCCCGCGCCCCTTGCCCTTCTTCTGCTCTCCATCAGCCCCGTCGCCTTCCGCATCGCCATCTCCGTCGCCCGATCCACGCCGCCTCTTCGGGGCCTTGACCTTGATGTACGGCTCCACGGTCGGGAGACGGTGATGTTCGCGAGGAGCTTGCCGGACATCCAGTCCCATACCTTCAGCATTGGATCACCGCCCCCGGATATCAAGGTAGATGGCTGGAAGGAAGGGATGTGGAGAGCGGAAACGAATCTGGGCTGGCGTCAGGCGTCAGGTCAGGGGGGATGGGGGCGCGCGACGCACTTCTCGTGACCAAGGCAATACCGCTCGATGGCGTACCCTTGTGGGTACCAGCTCACCCGGATGTGCTCGTCGCGGTCTGCAGTGACGATGTATCGCTCGTCGGGGGTGAGCAAAAATGTGGTGAGCATAGAGGCGTGGCCGAGGATGAGGGTCCCATTCGACGGGTTTTCGTGCGAGGTAAGGGAGCCGCGTTTTGATGTTCCCGCAGGTTCGGATGTGGAAGCAGGAAGAGGTTCCGGATGGAGAGGGTAGCTGTACGCCATGCATGGGTCGTGTGCGTCTTGATATACGAGCGTAGTGCAAACATACCTGAAGACGTCTCCGAACTTGTCACTGATGACGATCGTCTGTCCGTCGCGAGTGAAGGATACCTCCGTCGGCTTCTTGGGTAGTTCGCTGCGAGCACGCAACACGTTCGGTTTCCGCCGCGCACGAGCAGAAAATAGTAACTACCGGCGTACCGTTCGCTCACGAGCTGCAAGCCCTCCGCCAAACTCCAGACCTTGAGTTTCTTGTCATCGCCAGTCATGGCAACATGTGAAGCCTTCGCGTCGACCGCAATGCAGCGAATGGGACCGGATTTACTGAGCTTTTCTACATGGTCTGCAGAAGTGGTGGTGGAATGCAGGAGATCACCGGTGCTAGCTCGAGTCGAGTCAGTCTACGATAGATGTGCTGCGGTTTTATAACGCACTTGGGATTCACGACATGGAGATGAGGCCCAGACACGAGCAGAGCAACCTGCTCAAGGACCAGGCGAGTTGGTGGGTAGTGCGCCATGTCGAGGCCTGTCCAGTGTCGAGGGGGTGCGACCCAATCCTGACTTCGCGTGTAGGACTGTTGGTTTACTTGCTGCCCTGACTGTTAACTGCTCAGACCCAGCGTATCTTTGGGCGAGTTTTGGTCAGGCTCGAGTACTCGATAAGAAGGAGCTGGTACGTCTTCAGATTTTGAGATACCCCGGCGCCGGATCACCCCTGCAAATACTGAGGAAACGATCAGGCTCCTAGTCAGCCTGCCTTGCGTCGTCGTTCAATATATCCTAACGGTGGGGGTTAGAGGTGGAATCTGTGTACATAGAGAAGTAGAGAGAGAAGTACCACCAGTGATTTCAGCCACATCAATTAGATTACCGACAAAGTTCCGAAAGATGAGCACCCCTCAGAATTCGGATCCCGACTCATTTTCAATGTCCTAAACCTTAGTAGTTGTTGAAGTACTAAGGTTCAGTCAGAAGTTCCACAATTCGAGTCCATCCTGAGTGTCTCGGACCAACACTGTCGGTCTGCCTGTCTGACTCAACCTCCTCCCCTGCTGCTAGGATTTATTGAACAACGACGCAATGGGAGGACTGAATTGGAGGTTTGCGAAACGATTAGATTAGATGGGGCCCCTTTTGCAAAACAGTTTTGATATGTACAGGCTTAATAATGCTTCCTCACTATCTCTCTGTTAGTATATCGGTTAGTACACGCGCCTGTCATCAGTTCTTGAGGCCGCGCGAAAGCGGGGTTCGACTCCCCGACAGAGAGGCTCCAGTTTTTACCTATCACACCCTTCACGCCCCCCCTCCTCCTTGATATCAGTCGTTGATACACAGCCCGGGTTCTACATATGCAAGACAACGTTTTCCTGTGGTGCATCCGCGTTGTTATCTACCCTCACAAAACAGGGCAGCCACTCGTCCAGCGCAAGTTCGAACAATCCCAACCCAGCGTAGAAGGGTTCCTGCGCAACAGGGCTGTAGAATCCTACAGTCTTGAAGTCGGAGTGATTGGCATCCGGCGTGAGCAATACACGCAGGTCAGAAACATGTACCATGTTGGCATGTGTAAGACCGAAGAAGGACGGGAACTCTGAAGCCGTGTTGCATCTATGCGGCATCACTTGGCCTTAGTATCGGACAGGCAGATTCCTGAGCGCAGTGTACGCACCGGGGGACGGCCACGGTAGGCGTGCGCTGCGGTGAATTTGGTTCGATGGAGGCCAGACCCATCGTACGCCATGGATCAACTGCATTGAGCACGTCAAGTTAGAGCCAGGCCAACGGACTCGGAGAGGATACGCACACTCCCATTGGTGAAGAAGACATTCGAGGGCGTCATGTTCCATCCTCCGTACTTGTTAATCTTGTCCACGGCTGGAGCTGGCAGGAGTCCCTTAGGAAATGCGGTGTTGCACTGTTCTTGGAAACGCTCGAGAGAACGGAAGGACGTCTCGATTGAAAGCGGGTTAGCCGGATCGCCGCGCTGGTAAAACCCTGCGGCAAAGATCAAAAGGTCAGCCTAGAGGATCGAGTACAGAAACAATTCAGGAATGACGCGCCATATTCGGAGCAATACTGCCACATCCATGAGCGATCTTGCACGGGATCATCTGGATTCCCGGGAATAGCGTCGTAGTTGACCTCCCGTATCGCCGTCAAGAAGGCATCCAGAGCGGAGTCAATTCCGAAGCTCGCGGCTAATCCCGTCTCCAGAGGAGTTGTAGTGAAGTTGCGTGTCTCCAGAGCATTGCAGAAGGGCAACACCGACGCTCCGAAGCCATAGTACTGCAGAGGCACATGAGCATGAGCATGATTGACGTGTATTGGAACCAAATCACTCCACTCTCACCTGGTAGAAGTTCAACGGATCCATGAGCACGCCTGCAGCGCTGACGTCGCTGGCATTGGCCGCCTGCTCCCTCGTGACTCCATCGTTCCTCGCGCTCAACAGCTTGAACTTCAGCTCGGCTGCAGCATCTGCAGTCCCGTTGGCCAGCGTGTCGTCCACGAAGCGCGTGACAGCGACCCAGTCCGCTGAGCAATTTCTGGTGAGACTGCGCTCCGCGGCCTTGTAGTACGCGGCCATGTCGATCTGTGCCTGGACGGGGGCAGAAGAGGCCCAGACGGCATAGATCGTCTCCGGGTTGCGAACACGGAGGAGCGCTCCGCGGACGCCTGGGTAGGAGCCTCCGAGCCAGATCCACGGCGTGTTAGATGGATGGAGGACATTCTCTGCCTCTGCGCTGGATGAGGTGTTGGATGCCGCCTCTGAATGATCAGAAGGGAGCGAGAACCGATTCGCAAAGTAGACGACGTCTTCGAGCGCTTGCTCTGTGGTGAGGAATTGCCACTCTTCCGCCGTCGTGTTTTCCTGGAGGTCCAGGACATCAGCGCTGCCAAGTTATAAGCGGTGAATCACGACTCACGTTCACAGGAAAGGGCAGGGAGTCTCCATAATAGCGGTGTTCCCAGAGGATGGCGAGACCGTTGTACCGCTCTGCGAGCCGCATAGTCGCAGACAACCCATGATATTCCTGCTCAGCTTGTTAAGTCAGCGCACTTCCGACAGGTGAGAACTAACATACCTGGAGATAGTACGGGAGGAGCGGTTCGGCATCCTGCTCTCCAGAGTCGAACACTACTTGGGTTCAGCAACAAACTGGCGGAAGATACGGAGTATGCGAGCTTGCTTAGCACTCACAGAAGACGGGCCCTCCGCGCTTGTAGTAGGTCTCGTTGATCCAATACCGGTTTTTGAACGTTCCCTTCGTACCTCCGAAATGGTCGAGCGGCATCTTCAAGATCAGAGTGAGCCACTTCCCTGCAAAGCACCGTGACGAATGTGCGAGAATAGCTCACATCGAAGAAGAGGGCATCGTTGGGCGCGAGTTCTCCTCGTAGAACAGGAGTCAATTCTTCACGGTATCGCAAGCTAGGAGGTTGCACTGCGGTTACGAAACCCAGAAGCTGCGACGCGAACAGCACCAAGAGTATAGACACCAGAGCCATGGTGATCCGTAGCACAAGCAGTTAAGCTAAATCCCAAGCGATGAATATGAGGGGAGTTGGTCCTTATGTATCCGATTGCGAGTGATACATGACCATCTTGCGGAGCGGCGGCGGAGTCGGACGAGATAAGAGGGAGGGTGGCGTGGTCAAGCTTCGGGAGTTCGCAAGTTCGACCATGTGTACGATGCCGAGCCCGCGGTCCGGCTTGCTGTCATGCGCCCCGCAATGTGTTGACAGGGGATGGAGCGCTAGCGTTGTGACTAGCCATCGAAGAGGACGCGCGTCGCGGTGCTTGCCATGGAGTTTCCGAGTCTCGAGAACTAGCGATAGGAACCAAATTCAGTAATCTAGACGCTGGTACCTGTTGAGCAGTCGGAGCGAGACTGTGGACGAATCAGCAGGACAGTCGACTCCTCGGATTATGTGAGGTATATATGAGTACATAGAATCAGCAGGGCCATCGTCACAGCACTTGTCTCCGATGGCTGCTGCTTGAAATAATGTAACGCTCCTTCTCCCAGTCTGACCAATGGAAGACAGGGAGCGGGTGTGCCTCGGTATTGAACACCCAGCGGTCGAGGGGGATGAGGTCCTCGTCCATGAAGAGGAGGTACAGGTACTTGAGCCTAGAAGCGCGACGGTCAGTAACAAGCAACACGAGGAGAAAGCAGGTTATCATACGTCTCCGCGGTGAAGAAGCTATATTACAGATGGCAAATCATGTTAACGCGACTCGAGCTAGGAAGTATCAACTTCGATGGCGCTCACCTGGGCATCTCATCCTTCTGCGGCGCCGGAGAGGTCATCACCGAGCTAAGACTCGCATACCCGCTCTCCGTCCTAGCCTCCTTCTCGATCGCCTGGAAGACCGCCCACCCGCGCTCTCTCCACGCCTCGTCGCCCGTCGTGCGCCACATCAAGTAGAAGCTCTCCACGGTCTGCGGGGACGTTCGTTGTCACACACACTCGTACCAATGGGAGGAACTACTCACCTCAGGCCTCAGCAGATATCCCAACTTCATCTCCGTGTAGTCCTTCTGCGCCTTCTTCCCGCGCGCTGGTGGCACCTCCGCCAACCCGGGAGGAACACCTCCCGGTCTTCCCTGCCGCTCCCACGCGTCCACGGCGTCCAGCCACTTGTCCCCAGGCTTCATCGACATCTCGTCCGGGCCTAGCCCCGTCTCGCTGTCCGCGTATGTGATCCAGCATGTGTATGCAAGACCTTGCGCCGCCCACTGATGCAGCTGCCTGTCTCGTGGTGAGAGCGAGAGTGTATGTGCGCCGAGCGTAAGCAGGCCCGGGAGGAAGCAGGAGAGGTGCTCGAATGTGTGGCTGGGCTTGGAGCGGTATGCGTCCGTGACATAGAGTAGCTGTCGGTTGGGTGTGATATAGAGAAGATTGCGAAGGACCGACGACATGTCGCGCAAGTCTGCAGCATGTGAGGTTTCAGTATGCGCCCGAGAGTATGTCATATGAAAGGATATGACGCTCACAGAGGTCGAGCACCTTGGGCTCGGACATGCCGCTCAATAGATACTGCTTGAGCAGGTATTCATGTGCGCTGTCAGCGAACGCGCCTACGGAGAACTGATCTGAATGGACGATGAGTCGCGAGCTCATGGTGCGGGACAACATACGCACCGTTTGAGGGTGTACCTGTTATGGCTGACCACTTGGTCGGAAACTGATCATCGTCCAACTCGGCTCCGTACATGAGCTCCATGATACGCTCAACCTGCTCTAGTGTCAGAAGTCGTAACGAGATCATGCCAAAACATGGCGTACGTTGTCGAAGTAGTATTTGCGCCCGGTCAGATGGGCCAGGTACTTGTACTCCATCTGACAGCTGAGAGCTTCGGCCCACAAGATGTCGGACCCTGTCCATCCGGTTCTCGTCTCGCCGCTAAGTTCACACCGTCAGGAAAGGTTATGTATGTAACGGAGGAAACGGCGTACGAGACGGTGTTTACGGCATACATAGGAAGGCCGTGGGTGGTGTTGAAGGCAGGGAGTAGCATGGATCCCAGATCGTCCGCCCTGGCAAGCAGAATGGGCTCTCCGGACAACGCGTAAGCAGAAAGAAGCCCTCCGAGGTATCGGATGACCGTCTCGAAGAATGGCGCGTAGGATCCCTATAGGGACATAGCATGAGATGAGGACAGAAGATCTCGGCAACGTAAGTTCAAGGCTTACCTCTTCGAGCGCGAAGGTCATGTTAGCAAGGATGGGAACGGCTTCACGGAACTCGTCATGAAGTCCCATGAGCAGCATGGTGTCCAAGCTGTCCACAAGAGTCAAGCGCCATCCATTGAAGCTAACGCCGAGATGAGCCACTGAACGAAGCATGAATGGAATAGCACCTACTTGTTCACGGAACCATTGCTCACCGGAAGCAGCTCGTCGTTTGACCCCGCGTACTTCACGTATCCCCCGTAGGCATGTCGGAAGGCGTCGCGAACGGCGTCCGCACGTACCGTCCATTTCGTCTCCTCCTTGGGTCCGTGTGGTGGAGGTGGAGGCGGAGGATGCCTAAACGGGTGATCGTGCGGGGGAGGGTATAACCAGGGGTGATCTCCTTCCGAGCCCGAGGGACTTGTCAATTGCATGAGACCCCATAGTAGACATGTTGCAACCACTCCGAGGGGTATGAGACGGTAGACACGCTTCTTCCGGAACGCGTCCATATGGTGATACGTGTGGTGGGATGACGGCCCGAGCGTGCAGCGGCGTTCGACTAGGGCGGGTTCATGTATAGCG